AAAAAAAAAAAAAACTAAAATTCTCTTCTTGATGCGGTTTCACTTTTTTTTCTTTTTTTCTTTTTTTCTGAAATGGCTAAGCCAATTCTGCTTCTTTCAAGAATTCTGAACAAAGATTGTTATTCTTATAAGAAACTACAAATAGGAATGCATATATAGATATCCCAGCATTTTTGCATATGTCTGCCATATTCATGCAAACATGTTCTACCTTGTTTTCTTAATGAGAAGGAAGGGTTTGGTAGGAAGTGGGAACCAAGACCAGGTCACGTTTTCTCCTCAAAGCTAAACCAAAGTCCTCAGACATGTCCAGATCTTCTGGTTTCATTCCATTTGGGAGCTTCCAATCAAAATGGAACAGCAACTTTGCAAGTGGGAGCTCAATATTAGGTTGTGCAAACAAAATTCCGGGACAGATTCTCCTTCCAGCACCAAATGGGATATACTCGAAATTTGTCCCGGAGTAATCAAGTGGACTATTAAGGAACCTCTCCGGTTTAAATTCTTCAGCTTCAGTCCAGTAACTAGGATCTCTTCCAAGGGCCCAAGCATTGACAATGACTCTGGTTTTTGCAGCAATCTTGTAGCCGTTGATCTCACAGCTCTCGCTACATTCTCTAGGAAGCAACAAAGGTGCAGGAGGGTGAAGTCTTAAGGTTTCTTTGATTACCAACTTTAAGTACTTCAGTTCCTGAAGGCCACTTTCATCCACATCTCCTTTTCCTTTGAAAATCCTTCTAACTTCCGCTTGTGCTTCTCTCATTATAGCTGGATTTTTCATCATCTCTGACATTGCCCAACCCACTGTTATTGATGAAGTGTCACTTCCAGCACTGAAAATGTCCTGAAAGCAAAATAACATGAGGCTATATTATGCTGTCTTTTGAACTAGAAGGAAGAGTACTAGAAAGAAAATTACTTAAAGAATATTACAAACCATGATGACTGCTTTAATGTTGCTGTCAGTAAGGGGAAATTCACCATTTTCCTGAAGCCTCAAGAGAACATCAAGTAGGCCTTCTTTTGCATCTCCATCTCTAGCTGTCCTCATCTCCTTGTGATCATTCAGGATGTTCCCAAGAATCCTATCAAGCTCGGAGTGAATCTTCTTACATCGCATCCTTAACCCACTTAGAAGATGGAGAACTTTAATAGAAGGATATAGATCAGCCAAACAGAAACCTGATACCAGGCTATTAATGTCTGTAATAACTTTTATGAATGCACTTTGGTCTTTGGTTTTTTTGCCAAAGGTTGCCCTTGATGTTATGCTGTATGTGAGGGAGTTTATCTTTTCACTGAGATTTACTTGCTGGCCTTCATTGAAGTAGATTGTTTTAATGAAATCTGATGCTTCTTCCTCCCTGATCGATCTGAAGGATTGCACACGGTTTGCACTTAAAAGCTCTACCGTGCATACTTTCCGAAGTTGTCTCCAGTAACTGCCATATGGAGCACAGGCAATATCTTTACCTTCATAACTGATGATCATGGGAACAATAAAAGTAGGCCTGTAAGCAAAGATGGTGTCATGTGTCTTCAAAATCTCTGCGGCAATTTCTGGCGAAGAAACTACTATGGTGGGGACCTCCCCAAGCAGGAGGTGCATCAAGGGTCCATATTTCTTGGCCAAATTTCTTAAGGAGTGATGGGGGAGTGAGCCAGCAGCAGCAAGTTGGTACAGGTTTCCAATGAGAGGTAATTGCAATGGCCCTGGTGGCAGCTTCCCAGTTGCCTTCCAAGCTTCTAATCTCCTTGAACCCTCACTTGCCAAGAAAAACATCAAGAGGATCCATAAGTAGGGTATATTGGTCTCTGAATAGAAAGGGAAGAATTGATTTGAAGGGAAAGAAATGAAAACAAAGAGAAGGAAGGCAAAAAGGATTTGGAAGGAAAGGAAAGGAGGCTTCATCAGGAGTGTGCAAAGTGCAAAGGAATGTATATCAGAAGTGTTCACAGGTTTCTTTCCCAAACTTCATTGCTTCTTAAAGGATTCTGGAGCCTAGGATTCATTTGGTGGAGTTTTTTCATTCTCACTGTTTCTGGACCTTAAATCCAACATTTTGCATGCATGAGCATCTTCTATCAATGCTACTAGCTTCCTCAAGTTTTACAAGCTTTGAAAGTCAACTGTAGGCATATTCTAACATCTTAGTTGCATACAATACAACCATTTTTTATTTTTTTATCAACAGCATGCAATACAACCATTACGTACCGGGTATGATCCTTGCCAAAAATCCTGGGTATGACTTCCTCTAATATATCTTGGTAATGCTGTTTGATATCAAGATATTTATGCAATGTTAAGAGATATTTAATATCTTAGTTTCCACACAAACAATGTTTCTGCTTATGAAATCTCAAAATTTTTTATTTAGATATACATAGTGGTATGATTCTTGCCTAAAGTTCTGGGTATAAAATTCCCTTGATAATTCTTGATGTTGACATCAGGATATAATCATCATGCAATGTCATCATATTAGTACTAGACTAGTTGTTTTCCCTATCCATAAATAATTCTAAGGAATATCTATATCAATAATTAAAATTCCACAGCACCAAATACAAAAATAAAAATGCTATAATTATAATTTTATTGTATCATAAAAGTATAAGAGTTAAACGCTTCAAGCCTAATAAGGCTTGATGTCTTGGGAGGCAGACATTTGTTACATACATACTAAAAAAAAACTTTTGTTTTTTTTAAACCTAGTAAAATTTACTCTCATTCCTTAATCCACCCTACATGCCCTTTGGTTTTGCTTTTTCCTTGAGAAGAAATCACTATTATGGTTGAGCAGGTCGCTGCAGTTCTTTATTGACCGCAAATCACATGCAAGAAACAAGTACCTGCTCAGGCTGCTCTGCTCTGTAAACTAGCACAGATCATATTCCTACAGCTGCTGGAGAATTTATTGGTCAAGTTTCCAGGTACAAGCTTGAGTTAGTGCTTCTTCCTTCTCGACTTACTCGAGTGACGGCTGATGAGGGCTGGGGATTGCAAACAGGTCATATTTTCTTTGGGCTGTCACCCCAAATGATTCAGACATGTCCAGATCTTGATGATGTATTCCATTGGGAAGTTTCCAGTCAAAATGGTATAAGAGCAGTGCCAGTATAAACTCAACACTTACCAGGCCAGAGGCCATGCCAGGGCACATCCTTCTCCCAGCACCGAATGGGATGTACTCAAAATTAGTTCCCTTGAAATCAATGGAGATACCAAGGAATCTCTCTGGGTAGAATCTTTCAGCATCATTCCAGAGACTGGGATCTCTTCCAATTGCCCATCCATTTATTAGAACTTTGCTTTTGAAAGGTATCTCGTACCCATTAATCTCGCATTTCTCCCTGAATTCTCTTGGAAGTAACAGGAGAAGAGGAGGGTGAAACCTCAGAGTTTCTTTGATCACTAGTTTTAAATAGTCTAGGTGAGAAAAGGCAATTTCATCAACACACCCTTTTCTGTCAAAAACCTGTCTCACCTCACCTTGTGCCT